TTTCATGGCTGAGCTGAGAGAGCTCGACGAGCAACGCGTCTCCTCGACGCGATGGTTTGCGGCTGCAGTTACGGGGTTGCATCCGTTTAGGGGTTACATCGTCCTCCCGGAGTCTAATCAAACGATACTCTCGCGATTTTCTTGTAACGAATCTGTATGCTACACGGGAATGGCTCCTTTATCGGACGTGGAACATCTTCTGGAATTTAAAGTATTCCGGACTTCGCGGTTTTGTTGTCTCAGTTAAGAGAAAGGCTGCTATTCGTTGCCCGTTGCTTCTTGATCAAGAAGATGAATAGCGGATTTTATTCAGAAAAATATAAGTGAGAGCATGCTGGGATCATTTCGAATCTTAGAAACATTTTTTAAGGTATATTCCTATATTTATATTATATTGATATAATTCTTTTCACTGGAATGGCGACTCTGAGGCGACGCTAAAAATTGCTGCATTTTCAAACGAATTTTTTAAGGTATTCCTACCTTACACTCTAGATTATATTTATATAATTCTTTGCACTGGAATGGCGACTTTGAGGCGACGCTAAAAATTGCTGCATTTTCATACGAATTTTTTAAGGTATTCCACTCTCTCTCTCTCTACCTTACACTCTAGATTATATTTATATAATTCTTTGCACTGGAATGGCGACTTTGAGGCGACGCTAAAAATTGCTGCATTTTCAAAAGAATTTTCACGTTATTAAATTCGTCTCCGTTCGATAAATCATCAAATAATAGAAGTCTTCTATAAGCGTATGCGCTCAATTTCATATGTGTTAAATAAAAAAACGATCGTACAAAATGGAAATACTGTAGGTATCATTTTGGAGTTAAATTAGAGTCTCGAATGCAAAGGGTTGACAAGATGAATTGCTAATCTTGTTGAGAAGACGTGAACACCTTTCGAGAGACTTTTACAATTTTGTTTGCCATGTAGATGGTTTACAATATTACAGATGGTATACAATAGCATTTCAGTACGTATAGTACGTTTAATATAAATATGTATAGTGGCTTCAAAGTGTATTACGATTTTTTGGGTGGCGCTTTATGAGACAGTAATTAGGAACACAATCGACGAAACGAAAATGATTTTTTAAAAAACCAAAAAACCATAAAGGGAGGTTTTGTAAAATTATTTTTAAGGATCGCAAAAATCCTTGATTTTGAGAATTCATTTTAAGGGTTCATTTCGAATGTTGATTTTGAGAATTCCTTTTGAAAATTGATTCTTGATGTTCATTTCGAGGGTTGATTTTTAGAGTTCATTTCGATGGTTGCTTTCGAAGTTCAATTCGAAGGTTGTTTTCTCGCAGTGCCAGAATAATTAGCAGAATTCGCGAGTACAGCCTAGTGGTCGAGAAAAGCAGCTGCCACACAATGTACCCTAAATTGAAGAGATTATTTGACAAGCTTTATTTGAATTGTGCGGTCCGATACCTGTACCCTATTCATTCTCCCGATTCCTCTTCCAAACAAGCTTAAATTCATCCGCCTGGCCAAACAATCCGTCCCCGCGATTCGAGCCGGAAAACGCCGTAACCGTCCAGCCGAAGAAACAAAGCGCGGAAGCGCCGTGTGTACACAGGTCCGGAAAAGAGTCCGGAATCTCTTTAGACCGTTGTCCGAGCCCGAGCATCCCCATTCTTCCCGGGCCGAACCGTTAAATATTATCCCGGCGTTAATTGGCTTATTAATATATATGAAAATTACGAGTTAATGTTCCGCTTATGGTAAAAAGGGGCGCGGGCGGGCTCGGTCCGTTCCGGATCGCCGGCTCGGCCGCAAACAATGCCCCGTTAAATCAGCGTTATTGTCGCCCGCGACCAACTGTGAGGATCGATAAATTAAATCGAGCTCCCCGCCGATTTCAATCGGCGCGAGCGCGACCTCGTTACAGGGGAAAGTTCCGCGCTAATGTCAGCCGCCGTGGCTGAACACTGTTTTGACTTATAAATGGCGGCTGGATCACTGTGTTGTCCGGCGGACCAGGTGATGCAAGTGGGCCAGAAGTTGATGAACAAACGAACTTTTCACCTCGAACTCCGTATTCAACTATCATTTTTAATGATCGCGCGCGCTTAATTTCTCGAGTCCTGACACCCTCCTTGCTAGCTCTTCAGAACGATATGATTGTTCTAAATCAACTGGCAGAGTTCCGATTTCACAGGCACATTCTATAATTTGTGGTATTCGTAAAAAGGATTGATCTACCATGAGCAGTAAAAACTTTATAACATGAATAGAATACTGTATTATATGAATATATGAGGTAGATATGAATAAATATATTATAAATTATTATATAGTTATTTATATTATTATTATATATAATAATATAATATAATGTAATTATTATATATTATATATATTATTATAATTATTATATAAATTATTATTATATATTATTATAATTATTATATAAATTATTATTATATATTATAAATTAATAATATAAATTATATGAATATAATATTATATTATCTTTATAGTATTTTAAAAAGTATTATAT